AATTCGGAATACAAGATCAAGTCGGGCACGTCCATGGCGACTCCTCACGTCGTTGGTGCCATTGCCCTCTACTTGTCTGCCAACAAGGGCGCCAAGTACGATCAAGTGTACAAAGCGTTCACAACCACTGCAGACACTGCCACGTTGACTCCAGACAACCAGAACTGTGGGGGGGTGTCGGATTCCAAGTACCCCAACAACAACTACGGGTTTGGACGCATCAACGTCGCTAGTGCAATTGGTGGTGCAGTTGCCCCCCCTTCCAACACCACCTCTGCCCCATCACCGTCAAAGCCCCGCAACACCACCTCTGCCCCATCGCCGTCAAAGCCCCGCAACACCACCTCTGCCCCATCGCCGTCGAAGCCTCGCAACACCACCTCTGCCCCATCGCCGTCGATGCCCCGCACGTCAGGTCCATCGACCTCGGACCCCGCCACCCCGTGCGTCGAGGAAGCCCAGCACATCAAATCCTTCGAACTCCGCAACCAGTACCCGCCATCCGTTCCCTAGTTTTCATATGACGCCTTCCCCATCGTCGACCTGCAATGGCTGCGGTGGTTGATATTCTCCTCTCTTCATATTATGATTTCCTCCGGGGTTCGTTCACGGACTTCCAAGGGACCTCGTGTAGCAAACAGTAAACCTATCTGAGACGTCAATTGCTACTATCACCGATCTAAGTAGAGTCAACCTATAATGGACGGTTCCGTTTAATTAAAAGTGCGTACAACATGCAACCAATCCCACCTTCAACACTGATGCAGTAGACTCCGGCTTCGTATGTCATCCCCGCATGTACTCCATCAGTCCCCTACCCAACTCAGGCATTATGGGTCGCTTCGCCTAATCCCAGTGGGTGATGTTGTTATCATCGGCGAACCTTTTGCTCACACAATGAGCTCACATATTCAAGGGCTATGTAAAGCAAGTACGGTGCAGGGGCTGTGGGTCAGGCTTTGGATACAGGAGCGAATAATCCCAGCCCGAAAGCCTATGTTCACATGCAAGAAATGTTATCCGAATTCACAATAACAGACTGTCTAACAATTCATACTATCTATTTTTGTTTCCTTATAGGGGTCACGACACCCTCTGCTGTCCGTCACATGTTTCTGACGGGAGTCGCCAGGCCAGTCCACGACGTAAACTTCCTTGGACGTCGGGTGGACAAATCCTGCCAGCGGGGTCTTGGCTGGCAGGCCAGTAAACGCTGTCACAGGCGCAATTACCCCCAGCCGGTCCGCCGGCTGATGGTCGAGGGCGCCTTGAACGAGGGGTAACACGTGCGGCCATTCGTCCGTGTTTAGCTTCATTTCGCTGAGCAGCACCTTCACGGCGCGCAACACTAGTCGATTGACTATTTCCACAGTCCCGTTCGCCCAAAGACTATAGGCTGTCGTGATATGATGGTGGGAACCCACCAACTTCCGCACCTTCTCTATCACTTCGTTCTTGAAGTGAGAACCGCCATCTGACACCCATGTGTTAACGCAGCCGAACGTGGTAAACCACGGCATCAGGCAAGTGAGCGGTCGCGGCGGCGTCAGCGGACTCTGCCGCGAACATCTGCACAAAACCACTCATGTCGTCCTTCACGACAAGCACTTGTTTTTGACCAGACTTGGCCATGGGCATCGACAACCAGTCGAAATGGATGAGCTCGTTCGGCTTCTCTGCGTGAAGCGCCGAACCCAATGGACGGGGAACCATTTCTGCGTCAATGCACAGGCAGTGCAAACAGGCACGCACGAACGCTTCGACGTCCGTGGAAAGCGTCTTCCACACAAACTTGTCGGACACCGACCGACAAGTTTGTGTGTGTGTCGTCGCTGCGATGCGACGGTGACCGCTGGCTCCTAGGTGAGCGATCACACAAATCCGCTGTTGTAGGTCGACAGCGCGGTCTGGGATCCAGATTCGTCCGTCTCGGTCCACGTAAAAATGGGAGTCGTCGTCCCAATCCACGCCGTTTGTCGCTGATCGTAGCGGATGTCGGCCAATCAAAATCGACTTGTTGCAGGGGCGACACTACATGGATCAACTTGCGAACATTCGCAACTGGTTGATCCGCTGGAGCCGAACCCCATCGGCTCAGGAGGTCGCCCCATACATTCGCGTCACCCGAGACGCACTCAATGGTGTACGGGAAGGTCGACATCACCAGCGACCATCGCTGCAGCTTGTCGGCCTGATACTTGGCCATCTTGGCGTTCGAGTCACTTGGGTTGAAGATGTACTGTACTGTACACCAGGTTGCGGTGATCCGTAAACAGACGGAAACCACCCGGGCGTACGACCAGGTAGTCAAGTCTCTTGCACGACTCGACTACGGCATAGGCCTCCTTCTCCACGATGGGCCAACGCGCACTCGCGCCAGAAAACGACCCACTGATGAACGCAAGCGGCTGGTGCCGCTGGTCTTCGAGAGGCAAATCCAGGTCCGTTGGGGGTACTTGTGTGGCGACCGCGCCCCAAAACAGGTCACTGGCGTCCGTGAAGACGCAGACCGTGATGTCTTCTCGCGGGTGCGACAGGGGCACTACATGCGCCAACGCGTGTTTCACCTCGTTGAAACACTTGAGATGATCGGACGACCATCCCACGGCAGGGAGTGCAACACGCACTAACGCCGTTTTCTTGCAGCTTCCGGCTGCTTTGGTCGCCACGTCGAGCAGACGTCGCAACGGATCCACCAGCTGTTTGTAGCCGGGGATGCTCGCACGCATCCAGTTGGTGGCACACACAAACTGCTGGAGGTCCGCCGTGGTCGTCGGCGGAGACAAATCCACAAGTCCTTGAATTCGGCTTGGGGAATGGGTGATTCCATCGGCCGAAATCACCTTGCCACACCATTCTGCCTCGCGCAGAAAGAAATGACACTTCTTCGGGCTCAACTTGAGTCCGAACTGGGCACAGCTGGACAGGACTTGGTCCAACAAGTCGAGCAGCTCGTCCGTCGTCTTGGCGGACCCCAGCAAGTCATCGAGCCAGGCCAACAGGCCTCGAAACTGCAGCTCACCAAAAATTTGGTGAACAACCGACTGGCAGTACGCGACAGCGTCCGTCTGTCCCATGGACGAGACGTCCCATTCTTCCTTCTTCGTCCTTGCTCCGATAAGGAGGTCTTCAACGCTAAAGCCCAGTAACTCCATGACTGGGCGACTCACGATGAGTTCGGTTTCAGTCGACGCGTCGTAGACCCAGGCCTTCAGATCGCGCAACAAAAGCGGTCCACATGTCGTATCCAGCGTCACGCAGTTGAACTTGACGCTGCGCGTCATCACCACTGGTTTGGCGTCGCTGCCATACGGGTACGCCAAGTGCGGCACGCTATGGGAAACGGTCCCCACTTTGACACCGGCCGCGTCCAACGTATCCATCATGCCGCGCGTGACAACGGTCACGTGCGAACCAGAGTCCAAGAGCTCATCGTCCACGCGGACGATATTTTCCAATAGCACGCCGCGCTCTGTCTTCTGGCGCTGCGGCTGGTTGACCAGCACCTTGATGCCGTCCTTCCAGCGCTTGACTTGCGCTGCCAACAACGTTTCGGCTTCGCCAGGCGCGGTCTTCGGGCACCGCGCCACACGGTGACTCATGTCACCGCACTTCAAGCAGCCCTTCCTGGCAGGGGGCTCGACATTTTTGCGCACGATCGTTTCGGCCTTTCCGCCGACTCTGCCATTGTTCTTAGCGGCGTCTTCCTGGCCGCTGTCACGTCTGGGCATTACGAGGCTTCCCCCTCGTGGAGCTTCTACCGGCTTCGCTGCCGGGGAAGGTTTGGACTCGTCGTCGAGTCCCACGTACAACTGGTGGCCAGCTGCAAATGTTCGCAGCCAGTTGATGTAACGAAAGACGTCGCTCTTCAACACCTTGTTCCGCTGCAACTGCAGGTGCTTTTGAACCTCTGTGATTCCCAAATATACCTGGTAACCCACAAGTGGTCGTGGCGCCCCGAGAAACAACTTTCACATCCCATCGACACGACCATGGCCCCCCCTCCGCCTGACCCAGGACGGCCACCACCCCCAGCTACGTCCGTGCCAACGACAACCCCCATGGTTACAGTCTTCGTCACCCGAAACGGGATACCCACGCCCACCCTCGTGCCAGCTACCGGAACAATCCGCGCTCAGCTCCCTTCATCCTCCTCCGACCCGGATTCGGACCCCGACACGACCCAGCCCCCTGCCGCCACACCGCTAACCACACGCCAGCTACGTTCCAAGTTAGCTGTAGACAAATTCCTGGCCCGACTGGATCGCATCCGGGCAACTCGCGCCGACACGCGGCCACTCACACACTAACCCCGCCCATCCAGGCTGAGCAACACTCACGCCCACCAAACGTCAACTCCAGCCCAATACCTCTCGGAGGATGATAAACCCATCCGTCCCCGACCCGCTCGCAAGCCATCCCCGCCCACAAGCCATCCCCGCCCACTACCCCACCTCAGGCCATGCATTCTAAGCCCGCCCAAGGCCCTGTCCCATACAATACCAGGTCAACCACACCTACCTCCACCAAGACCATCCGCAGCTCCTCCACGCAAAGCTCGCTCCCCGCGGCATGGCGACGAACACAGAACCCCGATAACACAACAGGAACCACGGACCAAGCGCGCCAAACTATCCATCCCCTACCACCACAGCCACTCCTTACCATTGCAACCAAAACTGCACTCGCCACCCATGCACCCCGTCATCATCCCACTACTCCAGCAAATCCCCCTCCTACCCAGGCCACCACTCTACCAACCAGCTGTCCCACACCACCCCCTACCACTGCCTCTCCACCTCCTCCGACTACTGCCAGGTTGCTACCAACCAACCGTACTACAGTCCCCACAACACCCACACGCACCAACCACCCTATGGCCCACGAGCTTTCGAGCCACCCCATCCTTTCCGTGTCTCACCATGGCTACGTGTCACCCCGGGGCACACAATCGCACAAACGTCCCACTCCCAGCAGACCCAGCACCTCACCCATCACCAAGACTATCTCGCACCGTTCAGCCAGAAATTCCGCAGGCCCAGTCCTTGAGCCTTCTCCACCATGAGCACACTACACAACCAGGCACATCTAACATGCACCCACGCTCTGACCCACCCCCGTCTAGGCCACCACCATCCCCGGACACCCGGACACTACCACACCCACAACCCACCGGACAAAGGCACCCTCGGTACAAGATTCGGACCAGCAACCCACCCGACTGGGACAGGCCCCAGACCAGCGAATGGAAACAATGGGACAGGCCGCGTACCGGGCCACCTCATCCACCAGCTCAGTTACCCACCCATCTACCAAACGCCCACACTCCGAAGTCGATCCAGACCTGAACCTAGCCCACCCCTCTTTCAAGCTACCACCATACAAACGCCACCACGCTATGCTTTACCCGCCTACCCCGTCCTACCAGCCAGGTCCACTCGACCCTACACAGCCCTCGCAGGACTCCACCCTCACCCTCACACGAGGAAGACCTTGACGAATATGATGCAAACGCAGCCCTCCAATTCCCAGGTCTACGCAACCTCTGCGATGAAGGACAACCGATCCTATACCGAACAATGACCATGTACTGGGAACGCGAGGCACACCTCTTCGAAGGATTTACTCCCGCGGAGATTGCGGTTATCGAGCAACACTTTTCCGACACCATGGTTAGGATCCAGTTCTCTATCAATCCGTCGCTCCAGCAGCCTGACAACCCACTCAGCATCGTCAACTTCCGGAAAGAAATCGAGGCAATCTGCGAGGAACGTTTCGGGCTCACCTTCCACGGCGGGCTCAGTGAACACGGGCAGCAGCTCCTGGGGACCCCTATTCAACGCACCGCTCTGGCCTGGCCAGCCCCACGACGTGGATACCTCTTCCTCCGGGACATCTCCGTCGTCATGCTTTACCAGTATGCTGGAGTCCTCAGCAACGGGCTATCCTACCACCAGCTGGAATACCTCAACCGGTCTAAACTAGCCACCGATGCCATCGTACAGAGCTACTCACGTACCACTCTGGTCCGAAATGTTTGTTGTACTCGACTTGTTATTGGCGGCATTATTCTAGTATTTGTTCAATTCTCGATCTGATTGGCTTAACGGAAAGCGCAATGAAAGAGCTTTGATTCGCTGTATTTTGAATACCCAAATTCGGCGGGACGCCAAAAGAGCACATCTCCAAAGTTGAGCAAACACAACAATCTCAATAGCACACACCCGCTGAGAGTTCATTTCTCAAGTAATCGCCTCGAAGCAACCTCTATTAGTTTCCTCTGGTCCACACTATGCCTCAAGGACCATCACGCTCTCGGCCGACATCTGTGGCCGATGTCTCGACCCGCCGCAATCTCAGCAACGATGAACGAGTTGCTGCCTACCAGCTTCTGCTGGAACGATCCATCGGAGGTGTGCTTCCTAAT